CGGTAAGTAGACCAGGAACCGATTTACTCGAAAAATCGTATTTATCGTCCGATTTGCTTAAAATTTGGTACGTAGGTTGCTTTTTACCTAGATTAGCATATAGGATCCTGTTTTTTGCGGTAAGTAGACCAGGAACCGATTTACTCGAAAAATCGTATTTATCGTCCGATTTGCTTAAAATTTGGTACGTAGGTTGCTTTTTACCTAGATTAGGATATAGGATTCTTTTTTCGGTAAGTGGACCAGGGGCCATTTGAAAAAATTGTATTTATGGTGAGATTTGCTTGAAGTTTAGTACGTAGGTAGCTTTTTGCCTCGATAACATATAGGATACTTTTTTCAGGTAGGTGGACTAGGGACCGATCTATTCGAAAAAAATCTTATTTATGGTCCGATTTGCTTGAAATTTGGGCCGCAGGTAGCTTTTTGCCGAGATTAGCATATAATATCTTTTTTTCCGGATTTCGAAAAAATTTTCTTTATGTTCTGATTTGCTTGAAATTTGGGGCATAGGTAGCTTATTAGCCGGGTTAACATATTGAATACTTTTTTTTGATATGTGGACCAGGGACAGATCTATTCGAAAAAAATGTACATATGGTCCGTGTATGAGAAAATACCGAATTAGCAAGTAAGCGGGCCGAATTCTTACTGCCCTTTTAACTCAGTCACTTTATTTCCAATAATTATATTCAAGTTCACAAGGAGCGGTACTTATATAAAAACTGTAACAATATGTTAATGATGATGAAGGTATGCACATACATATGTACACTTGTAGCTATGTATGTATGTATGTACCTTATGTATGAGCAATGCGAACCATACGTATATAGCATATAAGTAAAGGCATGCATCTAAAATGATGTGCACATATTATACAGTTACCATATGTGATAACGTGTGTACGTACATAAAAATGTTAGGCAGTCGGCGACGTCGTCGACATACGTACATACATATGTAAATATGCGTATGCAAGTAGCAGCATGCGTATATCAATGCGAAGAAATGGTATAACGCTACAATCAGGAGATTTTAGCATGACATAGGCGCCGTGTCGGTATGCTAGTAGGGGGATATACCTGGAGAAATTACCACAATCTCAAACATCCTGCCCGGCTGAAGCCGTGCGGTTCAGAATTTCTTCTTGTATTCCGGTAAGCCTTACTACCTTTTGTATTGGGCGCTGACACTGACGTTTGACGTACATGACTCCTGCCGTTAACTGGTCTCCGTTGTATTCAATCGTAATGATGTGAACAAGACCGTCGCTGCCGGGGTGGATGTCAGTGATTCGACCCAGTCGCCAGCACGCCGGGGGCAAGTTCTCATTGCTAATAAGAACTACATCATCTCGTTGTTAATTTGGTTCAGGTCTCATCCACTTACTGCGCGCTTGGAGCGAATTTAAATATTCGTTTTGCCAACGACGCCAGAAATTTTCGAACATCCTTTGCAAGCGTTGCCGATAATGTAGGCGATTGTCAGGAACATCTGGTAGTGGTGGCTCAGGGCGACAGTTTAGTGGCCGGCAAATGAGGAAGTCGCCTGGCGTTAGAGCTAGGCCACCTTCTGGATCATCGTATAATGCTAACAGTGGCCGTGAATTAAGGCATGCTTCCATCTTCGTTAGCAGCGTCAGAAGCTTGTTATAGCGCAATGAATGACGGCCCATAATGCGCAGTAAATGCTTCTTAGCTGAGCGAACAGCAGCCTCCCAGATTCCTCCATGGTGCGGTGCGGACGGAGCAATGAATTTCCATTGCGTCCCTACTTGAGCAACGTGCTGTTGGGCATATGTGGATACCCATGCGTGAAAATCCTCACGCATTTGCCTTTCGGCCCCCACGAACTGAGTGCCGTTGTCACTAAAGAGCTTGGCACAAATACCGCGACGACTGACGAAGCGATCGTAAATCTATGAAGGACCTGGCACTCAAATCTTCAGCAAGCTCTATATGGACTGCTCGTGAAGCCATGCACACGAATATAGCTGCGTAAGTTTTTGTGGTTGCCGTTGATCTCTTTCCACCTATGCGTATATGAAACGGCCAGGCCGCTAGTTGCAAATGGTGGCGCCACAAGTACTCGCTCTCGCGGCAACGCTGCCATTTGCTGTTGCTGAAGATTTCGTTGATGTCGCCAACACAAAGTGCATCTCCAAACATATGTCTTCACCTGTGAGCGCGCATGCATCACCCAAAACCTTCGCCGCAAGTATTGCAGCATTTGCTGGATACCGCCATGAAGACATCGATGCTGAGCATCAGCGATGAGTAAGATAGCAAAGGCACCCTTAGGGATAATCATTGGGTGTTTTTGCTCGTCGGTAATATCTGCATTTTTGAGGCGTCCACCAACTCGAAGTATACCCTCAGCATCCAAGTATGGGTTGAGTGGTAAGACATGACTTCGACTATCGAGCCTGTTTAACAGTCACAAGCAGGGCCCATTCGTATTCCTCGGCTGCCATAACTTTAGCTCTCTGACCCCTGAACGAAGGCAGAAAGCGTCTCAGTCGCGCAGTTGTGTTCAGGACAGCGAGCTAGTGTACTAAACTTTTCAATAAGAGGTATTCGGTAGCCATATTCGGACGTCATAAGCAATTGATGATCAGAGCGAATAGCGACTAATGTACGTAAAGGATGGCACTCCACAGCGTGTGCCTGCTGTTGATCCTCAGTAAATTTTGGGACGGTTGCATCGTCTCCATAGCGCAGTTGGCAAGAAGGCGGACCTGTCCACCATAATGGATGATTCTGAAGAGATGTGGGCAGAGATCCCCGACTCGCACAATCAGCCGGATTGAACTCGGAGCGAATGTGGCGCCAACTTCTAACATCTGTGTTGGCCTGTATAAAGGCAACGCGGTTAGCGACGACTTGCTTTAACGACCATGGTGGCTTGCGAATCCAGTGGAGCGCTATGGTGGAATCACTCCAGAGTGTATAAGGTACGTTCTCGAGACGTAGCGCCCGACGAACATTACGTAGAGTTACTACAAGTAGGTGTGCCGCACAAAGCTCTAAGCGAGGAATCGTAATTTCCTTCACCGGGTCCACCTTAGTTTTTGCGGTAACAAGGGCCATTTGGGTATCGCCCTCTGCAGAGATGCTACTTACGTAGATAACTGCAGCGTAGGCCTTTGAGCTGGCATCACAGAACCCATGAAGTGTTACAGGTGAAGATGATGACATGCGTAACCAACGGGGTACACGGATAAGCGCCAATTCGCGAAGGCCGTTGTGGAATACGTGCCATTGATCCCGCAGCTCTGCAGGTAACGGAGTATCCCATTTAAGGTCTGCCTTCCACAGCGTCTGAAAAAAATGTTTGCCAGGACAATAACTGGCGCCAGCAGACCAATCGGGTCGTACAACTTAGCTACATCACTTAAAACGGTGCGCTTTGTGGGTGACGTATGTGATTCTGCAACGCTCACCTTAAAAAGTAAGTGGTCGCTTAGAGGATTCCAATGCAAGCCTAAAACGGTAGCATCGGAGCCACATAATTTAATTTCAGTGGTTGACCACTCTGGGTCGGTGACAGCTGCAAGTGTCATTGCGCAGTTCGAGCTCCATTTGTCAAGAATGAAGTGACCTTGCCGAAGGATCGCATCGACATCATAGGCACGGTGAACAGCGTCATCAGGGGAATCGAAACTTTCCAGGTAGTCGTCAACATAAAACCCAACGAGGATACTATTTTTCGCTACCACTGCCCGGCTGGCGTTTTCAACTATTTCGTAGTTATCTACCGCACATTGACGGATCGCATTGTACGGCCCACTTGTCATACCATACGTTACTGTTGCCAACTCAAAGATACGCAGTGGTTGGATTGGAGACTCTCGCCACAAGATACGTTGCCATTTGCGATGTCGACCTGCCGAAACATTTTTTTAACATCAGCCGTTACTGCGATCCGATAGCGGCGGAATCGATGAATAATGTCGATCAGATTATCTTGAAGCTGTGGGCCCGGAAACTGTGTGTCATTCAGAGACACCCCATTTGTTGTTTTGCAGGATGCGTTGAATACTACGCGAAATTTCCCCGTCACCGCATGATGGGGAATATAATAGCACTGCGTTGAGTCAAAAGAGTCATAGTCGACTGCGTTCATATGACCAAGTGCTATGTGTTCTTGCATGAACGTTGTATAGTTCTTGCGAAGCTCAGAGTCGCCGGCTAACCTTCGCTCAACGTGAAAAAATTGACGTCGCGCTGCTTGAAAGGAGTCTCCTAAAGTTGGCGCGTCTGGACGAAATGGGATCTGTACGCTATAGCAGCCATCTTCTGTGCGCCGTACAGTGTCGATGAAAATTCGTTCGCATGGGTCTGTCAAGAGATCATTTTTAGGCAAAATCCCCTCAACCTTCCACAATTTCAACAGTAGCTGCTCACTGATGCATGTTCTGGTAGTTAGAGTGCACTTCGTATCATTTGATGTGTTGACCGTTGCGGGCCGAACACAACCCAACCGAGGCGGGTACGGAGCGCGCACGGATCGTCGGGGGGTCACGCAGCAATTCCATCGGCAATCAATGAGGGCCAAATATCAGCGCCAATAAGTAAATCGATTTTGTCAGGTGTACCGAATGTTGAATCGGCTAATTGGAGACCTGAGATGTGATCCCAGGCGATTGTGTCAACCTTGGACGCAGGTGTTGGTTTAGTGATCGTCTGCAGAATATAGACTTCAAATTGCAGAGAAAATGTCTCGTCAATGGCGGATCGCATTTGAACCGCTGTGGTACCCTTAGTGTATGCAGATGCACTTGAACCTATCCCCTCCACACGTATCTCACCGAAGGTTCTGCGAAGGTTGAGAAGCTTAAACATGGATTCACTGAGAAAGCTCACCTGAGATCCGATGTCGCATAATGCACGGCATTTGTGCAGCTGTCCATAACGATCCGAAAGTAGCACTCTGGCCGTTGCAAGTAAGATGGTCCGGTCACCCTGGACAACGAATGACTGGACCTCATCCATCTGTCATTGATTACGTGAATACACTTGTGGTCCTGCAGAGCTAGGGGGCGCCACAGTGTGTGAATTAGATGATGATGTAGGACTAACTGCTGTTGCGGGTGCTGACGGTGAGGCGCATGTATTTACTTGACTAACCATGTGCGTGGTGTCTGCACTGCGACAGAGGAGCGTGTTGTGTTTCTGCTGGCAACCGGAACACACACCAGAGGAGCACTGACGAACGGTATGCCCCGATCGAAGACAATTAAAACCTACTGCTAGGCGCTTAACAACTTCCCAGCGTTCCTGTACTTGCAGGTTGTGAAAACGTTGGCACTTCATGAGACGGTGGTTGCCCGAGCACTGTGGGCAAGTAACATCTGCAGCCGTTGTACTTGCGGAAGATGCTGACTTTGCGGATGCATCATGCGCCTTGACTGTACGAGAGGCTATACGACGCGACGAGTGTTGAATGCTTACGGACCGTGGGGTGGAGCTTATGTTGTTGGCACGTCGCTCAATAAAGATTAATAAGTCTTCTAGCTTCGGTATATTGACGGTTACAAGACTCATACCCCATTCGTCTCGTGTTACTGTCGGTAGTTTCGGAAAAATTACGGGAACTGCTATTGCATCCGAGTGCTTCACGGGAACGTCCATGACGGCAAGGGCACGGAATTAATTGCGCACACAATCAACGATGGTCCGCAGCGCAAGTGGAGTCTCGGCTGGGTTCTCTGGTAGATCAAGAAAGCTCTGTACATGCGTCTCAGACAATAGGCGGGGATTATCGTAGCGGCGCTTCAACTCAGACCATACTTCCTCGTAGCCGCCAGTATACAACCCACCAATCATCGGAACATTCTCTTGGTCGACGCACTGCCGCAGCTTGCCCAATTTGTAGGATCGATCAAAATCTGTTCGGCTATGAACCATTGCCTCGAATAGGTCTTTAAAGGCCAACCAATTTGTAGGCTTCCCGTCGAATTTGGGAATTGATACAGGGTCCAGGCGCATGTCAGCCATTTGGTTGGTGATGGAAGTCGTGGCATTAACTGCCTTCTGGGAAGGCATACGGCGCTGTAATGTGATGCATATTGTGGTATACATCGCCTCCGTTGAAGCAAACAACTCGTCATGTGCTGAAACCTCATCTGCCTCTGCCTTGCCGACCAGATCGAAATGATGTTGTACAAACCGATCAAAGTGTTGATTTACTCGGCTAAGTAAAACCTCACACTCCACCTTATCCGGATCGAAATTTTCGTCCTGGACTTCTTTCCCGAGGCGCAAAATTGAAGCATGTGCCGAAGCACGTAATTTTAATGCAGCCATTACATTACACGGGATTCAAGTGATCGCGGTTCCTCACAGGAGGCACCAAAAAATGTATGAGAAAATACCGAATGAGCAAGTAAGCGGACCGAATTCTTACTGCCCTTTTAACTCAGTCACTTTATTTCCAATAATAATATTCAAGTTCACAAGGAATGGTACTTATATAAAAACTGTAACAATATATTAATGATAATGTAGGTATGCACATACATATGTACACTTGTAGCTATGTATGTATGTACCTTATGTATGAGCAATGCGAACCATACGTATATAGCAGATAAGTAAAGGCATGCATCTAAAATGATGTGTACATATTATGCAGTTACCATATGTGATAACGTGTGTACGTACATAAAAATTTTATGCAGTCGGCGACGTCGTCGACATAAGTACATACATATGTATATATGCGTATGCAAGTAGCAGCATGCGTATATCAATGCGAAGAAATGGTATAACGCTACAATCAGGCGATTTTAGCATGACATAGGCGCCGTGTCGGTATGCTAGTAGGGGGATACACCTGGAGAAATTACCACAATCTCAAACATTCCGTTTTTCTTGAAATTCGGTACACGTATTATAGATATACATAAAACAGAATTGAATGATTGTTTTACAGTTGGAAAGGCGTTTTAAGGCGCCACAAAGCAATCGGGTATTGGCTATTTACGTATACATATTTAATATCTATTCCAATTATATAAGAGAAGTCCCCTATTTTTATAAGAGGTTATCTCGCAAACGGCTGTACCGATTTCTTTGAAATTGTGGACCCCTTTTGGTTATAGGCCGATAATAAATTTCGTCCCCATATAAATCGACCGCCTATCTCTGGAAGTATTTGTGGTAGAGTCCTGGAACTTGATATGGTATCACTCCCATACTCATGAAGAAAAGTGGGCGTGGCACCTTCCAAATATACTGAAACTTTTACCTACCTGTAAATACATATATAATTCTTCGGTACGTGTGTTTGGTTCACAACTTAAACCCCCAGATGGCTCTGGAGTCGAATTATTACCAAAAATCATATTTTTGATCTGATTTGTCTCATAATAGAGATATATAGTGGTAAAGTAGTGGCAATAGTGTTGCAAAAAAGATCAGCAAGGTTGCGCTGAAATTTACTCAATTTCAAAAATTATTCCTTCATTTCAAAATAGGGCGTCATTTATTTGAAGAAGTAAATTTACTCAATGTAAGTAATAATTTTCTCAATATAAGTAATAATTTCCTAAAAAAATTTTGAATTTTGTCAGTGCTGTTAAGACAAAGTTAATTGCTTTCCTGGAAAATGTCGGTTGTGGCGTCGCGTGAAGACTACAGCTTCGGGTTCTGAGATCGCAGGTTCGAATCAGGTTGAAGGTGGCTAGAGTAAGGTAAGTGAATCATTTCAATTTAAATATTAAATATAAATTACAAATTGTAAAATTTATTTCATATATGGAAAAACCTAAATAAATACTCCAATAAAATAAAAAATAAATTATATAAATTTGTTTTTTAAATACAATTTAAAAAATTACAGTAAACAAAATATTGTAAAAAATTTCCTGCTCTGGGACTCCGAACCATGCATCTCTCGACTAGTACTCCAGAGCTTTGCTCTGTCGGCCATTGCCACTGTTCGAGCGCCGCGAGCAAAATGTCATACTTATTCCCTTCACTGGGGATGAAACGGCAAGTAAATTTTTCCTAAAAACTAAGGAATTGTGTTTTCCTTAAACTGAGTCAAATCGTTTACTCATATTAAGGCAGCCATGTCATTGGAGCGATTTCAAGGTAATATTTCCTTAGAATAATATACTATTTTCCTAGCGGCAAGGAATGTTTTTTCAGAGTGTGGAATATGTATCTCAATATGGGCGTCAGACAAGAAGGATTTAATAGGGTTTAGTAAGAAAATAATTCGAAAAGGGTTGCCAGCTGTTTTAAAACTCGAATTTAAATTAGAAATGTTCAGCTTAAACATGTAGGGTTTTCCAAAGTTTGAAGAGGGTTGCCTCCTGTTATAAATCTAAATTCAAATACAATTATATTATAAGTTAAATGAGTTATTACAATCTATGGTTTAATCGGAAGAGTCTTAAAAAGGCCTTACTACTAAGCAACATATGAATAGCGGGGACTCCACATGTTTGAAAATTTAAATTCAATTTGGATTATAGGAATTAACGGTATAAAAAGTAAAATTCAAAAATTTTCAATCATTTCAATGAACTATTATAATATGGGAATCAATCGAAATGATTTTGAAATGGCTTCATTTCTTAACTACATGTACATAAGTAGGAAAAAGTATCACAAGAGAATATTTTGAAGATATTAAAAATAATTTTATCGCCTGATTTTCGCATATTTTAAGTATATTGTGTTTAATTAAAATAAATTACATCTAATTTAGCACGTAGAAATTTCATACACTCAGAGAATCGGGTGAGAGCGAGAGAACCGAGTACGGGAACGCTTTTTGGTAAATTCCTGTAAATTCTTGCAACCTCTTGAGAGTTAGGGAACGCATTTATTAATAATGGAACAAGATTTGTAGTACAGAAAGTGATGATCAGCATANTTAGCACGTAGAAATTTCATACACTCAGAGAATCGGGTGAGAGCGAGAGAACCGAGTACGGGAACGCTTTTTGGTAAATTCCTGTAAATTCTTGCAACCTCTTGAGAGTTAGGGAACGCATTTATTAATAATGGAACAAGATTTGTAGTACAGAAAGTGATGATCAGCATATATTAGTTGAAGCACGATAAAGCTTAAAGTAGGGCCCATAAGGACGCCTTAATTTAAAGAGAAAGAAACTGTATGCTGAATTACTGTTTACCCGAACGACGGCGGGTGCTCTACTAATTATTAATAATTTTAATGGAAAATTTAGAATCGCAAAAAACAAAAGCGAAAATATTGAAGTTAAGTTCTGATTTAAATTGAGAAGAATCAAACTTTTTTTGATGTCTAATATACTTCAGAATTAGGTATTTGAGTAAAAAATAAATGCTCAAAAACATGGGGCTAGTAAAAGCAAGAAAATTGCCTAAACGATTTTATAAATGAGTGTGTTTCCTTTAGTGTGTAATTTTGTGTGTCTTCTTTGTTTACATTTTTTGACATTATAGTCAACTCGACTGAGTTGTCACTTCTACCTTGATGAATATGCCTTGACACATTTTTCCAATGCTGTCTGCTCACTATCAAAACAGAAACACAATTAATTTGAATTACTTGTTTATAAAAGTTTAGCTCATTGTCTAAAACGCGAGACAGACGGGCATGCTTATGCAGATAATCTAGCTTACAAATGCGCATAGTAATTTTGCCCTGACAGACGACAAGAATACGAGAATGATGGATCGAGTGGAGCACCGACGCTCTTACTATCGGAATACCTCTGTTATTCTTCCACTTAGACTTCTGACAATTTGCAAGCAATTTTATTGTGAATTACAGAGTAAGTATATAAATTGCCAGAAGTTTGCCTAGTGACATAATTGTTGAAACATTTTTTGCAACATAAGCGCCTCCAGACGAATCTTTAACTTCCGCCTAGACTTCTGACAATTTTTTCCCTACTTTCTTATGCTGTATTCGATTATATTGCAAATTTTCAGAACTTTACCTCGTCACTTATTTTCGCAGAAAATTGCATGTTTAACCCAACACCCTAACTTTATACTTCACGTGAGAGTTCTGACGGCCTGCCTCTCGCCTGTAAAGATCGATTTATTTTTTGACGATTTCTTCCTGCATCGATTATTTTTATTTCGATTCGATACCAGTTTATATTACAAACTTTACTTTTGATACTCAGAAATATGCAGGTTTTTATTTGTGGGATAGTTTCGATACATTTCCGATAAAAATTAGAAATTGCATCGATTTGTTCGTAGTTCGCATGGTAATTGGATCTGAATTACAAACAAATGAGGTAATTCGCTCTCAAAACTTTGTATGGCGAATTACGTAATAATTCGAAGGGTAATTGGAGTCCGAATTACGTATGAGAGAGCGAACTACGTAAGGGGTGCCGTGGGAAAGCCGTATTTTTATAATAGAAAGCCACGCTTATGCTGATACAATTTTTCAGTCAAAAATAGAATAAATCAATAAAAGTTAACGTGGTCATTCACAAACAGTTAAGCCTTTTTTCATTAGGGCAATTCATCTACACGCGTAAAAGCCTTATATCCACGTAAACCTTGTAAAATTGTTTAATTTTGTACGGAAACCCGGTTTATTTACGAGGTTTACACAGTTGCGATGCATTTACACGTTTATATGAATACCCTGATTGTTTCTTTGTTTAACATTTTTTCATGTTGATTATCGAATAATCTGATCGGGGACAAATATTTTTATGTGCAGTAGGTAGAATTCGGAGAACCTGTAACGTCATCAGCGTTTTTCGATTTTAGTTTCTGTAATTCATTTTTAATCGTTTCTTCTGTGACTGGCCAGATATACATTTTATCAATGCGCTTGCGCAATATTCCAGGGACTGAAAATAACTGTTATTTTTAACTTGGTCTAAATTCCGAAATAAAAGTAAATAATAATAATAATAATAAAAGTAAATAAAAAAGAAAAAATTAAACGAATTTGGTATCATATGAAAGAGGACTGAAATAGCTTTGAAACAGAAATAACGAACGAAGGTCGCCACCTCTATTTATATATTTTTATTACAATCTTATACTAAAGAAATTCATATACCTGACCCAAGGCTTTGTTCTGTGGTAATTAATTAACATTTTTATTGAAATAAGTGGCCTTCCTCGTTTAGACATTTCAGATTTAATGCTATTTAAATCCATTTCATTTGATATCAAAATCGTTTAATTTGGATAAGCGGTTTGTTTATTATCCGGAAAGAACTTTTATTTCGGAATAAAAAATATTTGGCAAAAGTACCGCATTGATTATTGCGAATGCGAAAGCGAATGTTAAAATTAATGCGGAAGCTTATTTGGATCGTATAAAAAATTTAAAAAGGGAAAATAGCACTTCGATTGGAAATGCCCCATTTAAGATTGCGATCCAAAAATTATTTGATAATTTTTTGAAGACGCTCAAAAGAGACGTCACAAATTTATATTTATTTTGCATTATACTAAAGTCAACTTTTACTTTAGCTGTTATTTCTTATTGCCAGGTATATGGATGTATTTAGATATTATTTATAAGCTTATATTATAATAAAGCACTAAGTTTGAGTTACACTTTTGGCGAGCTAAAGCATTTGCACAAAAGCCATGCTAAGTAAAGATCCTGCAGCCAGACCCAAACTTAAGCTTGCCGCCATAATCGAAGACGCCATCTCTTTTTCATGTTGCATGACCGATCTGCAATTATTGATATTTTTACGGTTAATTTTTTTATATGGGCATATTTCAACGAACTCAAAATTACCTAGGAGCCATAATTAAACATATATTGGCCAGATAACCATTAGTTATACCAAAAGTAATAATCATTATCATAAATGCTGCATCTGTATGTACAAGAATGGGTAAAAAATAATGTACATTACTATTTGCACAAAGAAAAAGCGGAACGTATAGCAGGCGTATCACAGTCATCAAAATAACAGTATGTGGGTTATCACGCGGCTAAAGAAGATTATTAACAGTTAATAAGTAGAACGCTGTATTTATTTAACCATTATTAACTCACTCTTTCCCACAATCCCGCCAGTATTCGACCAAAGTAGTCTCCAGAATTGAAAAAAAGATAATTGATTACTGGTATGTAGTAAATATCTGGAAAACACAATTTATTAATTAAAGTGTAACAACGTACTGCAAAAACTTACCATTCCAAGCATGTCCTCTGCCATAATTTTCCGATTGCATTAGTACTGTAACTGATGGATAAATCGAAAGTGTAGTTGCGAATAGTAGGCATATGTTGACTGCTTCAATGAAAATTTTAGCAAAGACTTCCTTTACATTCGGCTCCGATTGCACTACAATATCAGCACTGCGACTATGGGAAGGTATATCGGCCAATATTTTATACTTGTCCCCACCCTCAAAATAGTATATGAAAAATGGCTGACGCGACATAATCACAAAACAAATTATGGATAGTAATACCAAAGCACTACCAATAATGAAATATATCAAAGCAGTAACATTAGGAGGGGCACCGAATGCTAATACTAAAACAAAAGCTAGCGCGGAGAGTATACCGCCCAAAGCCTGACCACTCACCAGAGCGGTCATGTAATGTGATGGAAAGAGTCCAGCAACACCGAATACTCCCCCTGACATTACGGCCGATGACACTACAGAAGAAAAAAGTATGTCACATATTCAATTCTATTTATAAAACTCGGCCTTACTTACCGTTAATGATGACTACAGTGAGAAGTGTGATAAGAAAAAACTGTTCTTGCCATTGGTCTGTGTTAACTTCCACAAAGCTTGCCGTTACAATGAATATTCCTAAAATCATAAACAATGCTCCGAGCATTTTTACTTTCAAAGAGATACAGTGCCCATAAACAGCGTTCAGTATGAGAAATGTTGTGCCTGAAATAGATGCAGCGAGTGTAAGATCACTGGTAAAGCTTTTTTGCATAGGGGTCAGATCCGGCGTCGCAGTGTTAGCAGTGACAGTGGTGTTTCTGAATTTATACATCCAATACTAAAAGGCAGAAATAAAGAATTCTGTGTTTTGAGAAGTATTAAATTATTATTTGGTTAATCTAACCAGACATTTTGATATAAATCATGGTAAATTATTGCAGCTATTATCTTCCCAGAGATGAAAAACATCACGGTTGCCCACACTAATAGTAGGGGAGCCCAAGAGGGGATTCGGGGATTTACTCGAGCGCGTCAGGTTTACATATGGGGGATACCCTGTATTCTGTTGAGTACCTCTGCCAAATTTAAGCCATCTGTGTAGATCCGCGCGCATAGGACAGCTAATCAGAATAGTAAAAAAAAATTTATAGGTGGATTTACTCGAGCGCGTCAGATTAAGAAATGGTGGGTTAATCACATTCTGAAAAGTGTGCATTTTAATAATCTGACGATCTGAGCGTGACGCAAGGGATTGGGAGGGTCGCAAACTTGCAAAAAAATAAATTACCTTAACATTCTCAAGCGCGGTCAGTTTTTTTTTATTTTAAAGCAAGTAGCTCAAGGATAACGGGAAGTATATAATCTGACGGTTTCCGCAAGCCGGAGTATCGAAAATCGCCAACAAAGTTTAGCACGTGCACCTGCTGTTTTTTAAAACTACTACAACTTTTTCTACGAAATTTGTTATTTTTTGATTTGTTTGCTGTTTTCCGTTCTATTATATGTCACAAAGATATCACTGTAGTATACCGGGTGCGGGTGAATTGCGAAAAATAACCAAGAAAAACTTCCGCTTAAGACTGGGGATTACGATTACTTTAATATCAGATTCAAAATAGTTTGAATAAAGATTGGAATCGTAAATCGAATGAGTATTAGATTACAATTATAGTAACAAAAATTTGTATCAGATTACTCAGATGAATAAAAAAATTCAAAATTCACTTTTTGAATTATATGATGGATTTCATCGAATTAGAACTCCCACATAACTTTATAAAAATACGATTTTATAAAAATAAAAAAAAAAATTGAAATATTGGTCACAACTTTTTCAATTTCAGTTGCGATGTTGTTACGTGCTTTTGCATTTCAAGTGTTAATATGTATTTGTCTAGGAATGTGCCTATCTGATTGCTGGGGTAGGCAGCCCTAGAGGTATAAGGTTGGAAAGGTACGCAAAACGCCACTTACCTTTGTTAAAGCCAAAATGCTGGTCTTTATATTTGTTTTTTTTATTTTGTTCGGAAAATTTTTCTCTTTTAATCTTAACAGTCTGATAAATTTTAAAATTGATTGCTGAAACAGTATAATAGAATTAATTTTGTAAAATGGAATAAAATAAGGAGAATTCCAACGTGACAGGTGGGACATTGTAACTCGTTTTCCTTGAAACTTTAAATAATTTCTCTTTAACCATTAATTTAATAAGTTCGAAAATGCTAATACTTGAAGTCAGATATCAGCTTAATACGAAACTCATAAAGTATAAAACTAAATTATATTTCTCGCACAGAAAATTCACATTTTCCAAGTGTGGAGGGTTGGACAATGATAATACCCACTTCACTGAGTTGTTAGATTCGTTTCAAAATTTATACTATAAATATTTGGATCATAGCGCTTTTTTCTCGTTTGTAGCTAATATAATGTTAAGGTCCATTTTATGCTTTGATGGCATTATTTCTTCGAAAATAAAATTGGTGAGTCGGCCTTGGATCTTGCCCTAGAGGGAGGCCAAAATATCATGGCCAAACGGCTAAGCACGTAAACTTGATTTTGGCCTCTAGATTACAATACCGTTTTCAGAAAATCCGTATCACTTCAAAATTTTTAGATATTTAGTGTGGAAGTTTTATGCAAAACATTTCAAACTTTAACAGGGAGGAAAAGATATAACCGATTTGTTGTCATTTTTTTTCATTTGAATTAAAGCTAGTTCTTTTACGAAAAAATGTAGCTACTAATGAAGAAAATCGGTGGATAATTAATAGAATGGGGAACAGGCAAATAAAAATGCGCAATGATTTTTTGGTATGAAATATAAGCAGGAATGACGACATATTTAATTTTCAGTTTTTTTAATAATTTTATTTTTTTTTTATTATTCACTAGTCTACAGAAAATAGAATTCTTACAGACTATTACTTAACTCAAGACAAAGTTTAATTATGCATTAAATATAGATTTTAAAAAGATTAAGTTTGAAATTACATTTATTATCACAACAATTTAAAAGTGAGGCATGAGAATTGCAAAGCCTTATAATTCTGGCTATTGGTTCATTGTATGCATTACATGGCGTAGTAAATGCCGTATGGATAACATATTAGCAGCCCATATAGCATCGAAAAAATCATTGCACATTTCATTTGCCTATTCACCATTCTTTTAAATATCCCCGATTTTCTTCGTTAGCAGCTTGATTAAATGAAAATGAAAAAACTAAAAAAAAAATCTTTATTTTTTTAATTTTACCTTTGTTAAACTTCGATTTTTTTCAAAAAACTTCTCCACTAAATATCTCAAAATGTTTACGTGAAAACGGCATCGTAATATAGAGCCCAAAATTAAGTTTACGTGTTCGCCCATTTAACTGTGATATTTCAAAACATTTAAAATTTACCTTAAGTGTTATCAAGTTACTTGTTGGGAAAACAAATTTTTCAGTGCGGAAGTATCAAGCAACTTTCAGGGAGACATTAGGGATATTGACAATCAATTTTGTTCCGACGACCCTGTCAGTAAGATTTACCCACAGTATACAGTAAACCAGCCATTGACAATATGCTTATTTGAAAATTAATACATGAAATATTGTGCATGTATAGGATTATTTTGTCATTAACCCATAGGCAATGACTGGTGCAAAAGGGTGACAGGTAAAAAGATCAACGGAAATAAGGTCAATTGACTTTATTTCTCACCCTGGTGCAGATATTTCACATTTTTATATTTGTAAGTTATTGGAAGCAGGGATATCAACTTGGCTCAAATCGTGCCATTTGTCCCTATTTTACTTCAAATGACACTTAATTTTTCAAGAAAATAACATTTCAATACATTTTTGTGAAATCCTTTGCGTGCACTTCTTTTTCTCAACTAAAATTTTCCAATTTATAAAGGATATTCAACTGGTTTATCTTATTTTATGATTGCACTTTTGTTTGGAAAATGTAGCTTTATTTTATTGCTAAATGTGAATGATTAAAAGGAATGACACCTTTTTTGGCACTTTTATTTTTATATTTGGCACATTTTGGCACTTTTTTATCCTCAATATGGCACCTCATAACTAAGGATAGTTGGCAGCCCTGAATGGAAGATTTCTGCTGTGGTTTAGGGCAACAACTTGTCTGCAGTAAGAAAGCATATAATTTGTGTTTCAAAAGTGTGTGAAAACCAATCAATTAACATATAAGATCTCGGTTCCGATATTAAATAATCAATAATTGTTTATACCCGCATTTTGGCACATTGGCTCGTTGAATGTGTCATCTAATAAATAGTGTCGTCGTTCTCCTTAGCTGCTTTTAAATTATGTCGTCACAAATTGCTGGCGGAGACATGAATACAGTATAAGAAAACTCTTTTTCTATAATTGTTTCCTTATAGAAAGGTTGGTTTCTTTTCCACCTTAGACATTCGGAATTCGTTCAAAATATGCTAATTTAAAACACAGAATTCTTTCAGTGTTCCTCCGGGGTTTTTGGACATGGACTGTTTCTTCAATTTAATAGTGTTCCCTTTATTTTTGTGGAAACGAAACATGTTTTGCAAGTTATGGATCAATTCTACACTCTTTCTTCAAATATTTCTCGTATTCCAGCTGTGCGCAGGCGTTTAGTTTTTCGCATCGTGTTTTTACATATTCGTAATTTAGTTATTTTAATACAATCAATTGGTGGTAGTTCATGATTGTGTGTGGATTAATATCACAAAACTGAGGGGATTTGGCAATAACGTTTTTCATCTATTAAAAAAACACACTTACGGGCATGTTTATTTTAAGAACAACATTTATTTCTATGAATCGACATACTTTAAGCATTGTTGACGCTATTTCCATTTGAATGAGGAAATAGCGTCAATGACTTTATTCCCAAATTTTTGTTGACTTTATTTCGCTTTTGAAAAGGTAATATTAGAAAAGGTTTCCCACCCTGGAGCGAAATAAAGTCAATTGACCTTATTCCATTGACCTTATTACCTGTCACCGTGCAAAAGTACCCCCAAATGTTTGTTGATATATTTGAAATGTCAATTTTAACAGGGAAATTCGTTAAAAAAAATAATAAAACAAAAATATTGTTGATTACTACATGGAAGGTGGTCGTGGTTATTGCCAAAATTTAATACTAACCTAAATTATACCAAAGGCAACTTCGGCACCGACTTTCGTTAAAATATCTAAATTTTGTTCGAGTTAGCGTGTTTACAAACAGACACGACTGAACCAATTCATTCACCAATTCGTCATTCTGAATATTTTGATAAATATGTATGTATGTAAGACTGTATATACTTTTTATACCGTTGAAAAACGGCCTTGCTTATATGCATAAACCTTTCCTGCATTAGTTCCAGCGTCGATATATAACTTTGGGTACATATTTCATAAAAACTTTGGAGGTCTCCACTATAAGAGTGGTATATTTGAAAATTAGAGAGTTCTACCTTTATGCTAAGTAATACTTGTTTTACCCCCTAATTTATGGGTCCATTTTCCAAAATCAGCCCACCATTATTCACTCAAAGTTGTGTTTTGAACCAGATAAGACTTATGTAGGAACTGCATCCGGTTATAATCGCTTACACTGCCCGCCTGATTTGCTTGGAATTTTGTTTTTCTCGTTGTTTTATTTTATGTGACTTGAAAATATTTTCCACTATAAGAAAATATTGAAATTGGATTTCATTTGGGTTAAAGAAAACGACAACTGTGAAAAAATATCAACCAATACATGCAAATAAATTGTCAAATAAGCATATTTAAATTTTTTGTTTTGCCTATCTGGATTACTGTATACTGTGGATTTACCATTAGAAAAAAGCTTCATCTGTGAAAAAGAACGCAAACGTCTACATGGTCGTGAAGTGTAAATAGACTTCGAACTATAGATCTGTTAAAAAGTGCAGCCACTGAATATAATGGCATACAAATGTTGGAGAAGATAAGCTTGTTCCCTAACGATTCTAATATTACGTATGATAAATGTTGTAAAGATCAATATGTGCGAGACATTTCGAAAGAAGATGACATTGAATTTCATATTATGCGAAATGTTGGAGGAAAACGTGGTAAAAAATCATGGTGGAATAATCCAAGGTGTTGGATATTG